ATATCCACTGATATTTGGTATTTTGGTATTTTAATAGGAATTTCATTGAGCCTATAGATTGGTTTGGGTGATATGGACATTTTAATGATGTTAATTCTTCTAATCCATGAGCTCAGTATATGCTTTCATTTATTTGTATCTTCCTCAGTTTCTTCAGTGTTCTATAGTTTTCCCAGTACAGGTCTTTTAGTTTTAGGTCTTATGTTTAGCTTTTTAGTACATTTGGAGTTAACTTTTATATGTAATATGAGGTCCAACTTCTTTTTTTTAACATGTGGATATCCAGTTTTTCCACTACCTGATGAAGAGACTGTTCTTTTCTCATTGTGTGGTCTTGGCACTCTTGTCAAAACAACATTTATCATACATGCTAAGGTTTATTTCTGGGCTATTTTGTTTCATTGGTCCATGTGTCTGTCTTCATGCCAGTTTTGATTAGTGTAGCTTTGTAGTATGTTTTGAAATCAGGAAGTGTGAGGCCTCCAACATGTTTTTCTTTTTTCAATTCCAGATCATTTTGGCTATTCAGTGTCTTTTGACATTTCTTATGAATTTTAAGATGTCTATTTGTATAAAAATGCTGTTGGAATTTTGATAGGGATTGTGTTGAATGTGTAGGTTTCTTTGGATAGTGTGGTCATCTTAACAATATTAAATCTTCCAAATCTGTGAATACAGGATATCTTTTCATTTATTTGTGTCTTCATTAATTTCTTTCAGCAATTTTTAATAGTTTTTAATGTATAAGATTTTCTCTTCCTTGGTTTATTCCTAAGTATTTTATTCTTTTTGATGAGATTATTTTTCATTTTTTCAGATTGTTCATAACTAGAGTATAGAAACACAACTGATTTTTGTGTGTTGATTTTATATCCTGCAACTTTGCAGAATTTATTTATTAGCTCTAACAGTTCTTTGTGAAATCTTGGATTTTCTACTTATAAAATCATATCATCCGTGAACAGAGATAATCTCACTTCTTTTCCATGTGTAGTCTGATTTAGTCCTCACTTCAGTGTTCTAGGGTAGGCCTTGTCATCACTGTTTTACACATGGGAGTACTGGATGATTTAGTCAGCTTTGCTGGGTTATGCTGCAGTAACAAACAGCCACAGACTCTGAGAGGGTCAGGGCAGTAAAGCTTACTTTTTATTCATGTTCTGTTTCCCCTGAGGTCCATGTGTTCTTTATCTAGGGTTCCGGCTGAAAGAACCCTGTGTTGGAGGTTGCCATTTCATGGCAAATGGAAAACCTCAGGAATGGGACCATGAGAGGGCACTCAAAACTTCCATTTGGAAGTGACTCACAAACTCTCACTGACATGTTACTGGCCAAAGCAGTCCCATGGCTACACTGGATTCTAGCGGAACAGGACCTGGGCTCCTTCTTCAGATAAGGCCCAGAGCAGGTGGTGGGAATGCATGAATGTGTTATGGTCTGACTCAGCAAAGTCAAACACTTAGAAAAGGATGATTAGCTGAACCCACTATAATATTATATTAGATGATACTATTCATATCAAATAGCTGATACATAGGAAGTTTCAGGAAGGTAACGTTGATGGGCCTTGTCTATGAACTTGTCTATTCTTAGAAAACTTACCTCCAATTATTCTAATGGTTCATTAAGTACACTCACAGTTTATTGCTCTTTTTTGCTTTAAAAGTAAAACTTTATGACACTGACTTTTAGGATTAGGACATGCTGTCTGCAAAGCATGGCTCCTTCTCTCATCCTGAAGCGATGCCTTCCTGAGATAGCTGCAGGAAGTCCTACACCAGGCTGAGACCTCACCCTGTGACATCGCTTCTTTGTTGTTAACGTGGCACATTTCTTTGCTGTCCTCTAACAAATGCATTCTCCTTTAGGATATAGCCGAATTCTATTTTGTTCTTTTTCAATTTTTTCTTTCCTATCTATTAGGATTTAAGTGGGTCAGAGCTAGTTAGGAACACTTTACAGATATTGTCTTTTTTTTTTTTTTATGGTCAAAATAGAAGCTGATGGGGAGAGAGGGGAAGAAAAGCCTGACCTTATTTCAAAGGTTTGTTTCAAGTTTGAAATTAAACAAATTCTATTCTCTCTTTTCTCAGTTAAGGAGAATGTATTACTGATAGTTGAATTCCAGTGACTTGATTTTTTCATATGAAGGTTTTATATGAAAAAATTTCCCTCCATATGTGTGTGCGTTACTTACATATATACATACATACATATGTGTAAGTTTCACATATATACATTTATAAGCTTCACCGTGTGTGTGTGTGTGTGTGTGTGTGTGTGTGTGTGTGTAGTCTTCACCAATTCAAACTTAGCAAGGAAGGAAATGTCTTTCTGGGCCATTGAAATACCTTAATTATCATCTCCAGTTACTTCATGTACTTCATTATCAGTTAGCTGAAGTAGTTGACTAAAGCATAGTTTAATGGAATTTCTTGAGGGAGTGTATTTAAGTATCTTGTTGCCCCATCCATATTTTTTACTGTTAAGTTATTATTGAACTAAAGTGTACCTGAAATAAAGAATACTTGAAGTTTTCCTTTTGTAAATACAATGTTATGATTTTCTAATCTTCATTGTTAATAAAATTATAAACTAGAACATAATGATCCCTGGATTATTACAAATTCAAAATGACTAGCATTCAGATTAATGTGGAAATAAACCTCATTTTTAAAATGGGTAATAGACTATTCAGGCATTTGATTGTGGAGAACCATTTTGTAAACTACATCTAAATTGAAATCCATTGCACTAATACTGAAGAGGACATTTGGGATATTTCCTTCAAGTTCTCACAGTCTTAATTTCTCCGTTATTTCGTTTCCATGTTTACAATGTCTGTTTCTGTCTCTATGCCTCTCACTGTACATCCTCGTACTCATGTCCATGTAGGCATCTAAGTGCAGGTTCACTTACATGTATGTATGTTATATGTACGCGGATTATTAAGGTAGAAAGAAGATGGAGAGACGTGGACTGATCTGAGTAGTATTAGGGAGGTGATACTAATGGCTGCTACTGATGGAATGGCTGTTGTGAGTTTTGAGGATGACTCTGGGGCTTCAGCTTCCCTGGCTAGATTTATGTGTCATTGGCTGTAATAGGGAGGGAACTCAGGAAAGGATGATGTGTGAGGGGGAAAAAATGTTAGTTTAGTCTTATGCAGGTTTGAGGTGCCTTTAAAATAATCAAGGGAAGTTATATTGAACATTTCTATTTCAAATTGAGTGGCCTGGAGATATAAATTTGGAGTCATCAGCAAATAGATGGTAATTAAAGCTGTGGAAATGAGTAAGATGACTGAACCTTTGAAGAATAAATCTGTGCCTGATTCGGGGGTTATAAATCTACAGAAGGAGATTGAAAGTGAGCAACCTGAAAGCTAGACAAAACTAGCATTTCCTCTCATATGTATATCAGTAGTTACAGAAGTAAGATCAAGGGTGATTGACAGGTCAGGTAAGATTAAAAGAATGTTTATTGGATTTAGTGACATGAGGGGGTCATTGGTGATCTTTGCAACAGTTGTATTTTCTTGATACATAGTCCTTATATTTCTTCATCCCCAAATCCTTTCTTGGCCCCTCAGTTCATACTAAACAACATATGTACTTTTCCACTTGGTGTTTAACTCCCTTTATGATTTAATAGAATACTAATTTTAAAGCCTTATGCCACCCAGCTTATTATGAACACATACCTGAAGCTCCAGCCAAACTCTCTACCTTGCCATTCCTTCTACAGGTATTTTCCTGTGGTCTCTTTTCTCATGCTTTTTCATTCACTGTTACTGAAATGTTACTGGTCTCTGGAGACTCAAACTGAACCTCGCTGATGTGTTCTTCCCTGGTTCTTGCCCACCAGGTGGGCTCATGAGTCTGAATTTCAGATACTTTCTTTTCATATCTCAGATGATACATGTCACAAATGATCTTACATTTTAAATACTTTGTACTTGATTATGCTTATGAGCTCCTAGAGATTTGAGCTTTGTTTTGCTGATGTTATAGATCCTAAAGCACCTAACATTTTTTGAGTAAGTGAATAAAGTTTAAAGTATATATTTCATACAACACAACCTATATGTTACTCACCTGAAGACATAGTTTCAATTTCCTTTCATTCTTACGATAACTGTATGAAATAGTTCCATTTCACAGATATGAAAATTTGTAGTTTAGAGGCATATTTTTTAAATTCATTTTTGGGCTAGGGTTTATTATATTTAAATAGAGGAACTTCCAAGATTTTAAAAAGAAGGCTCATTGAAAGGTTAGCATCTGAAAGGAAGCATGTGTACTTGTGCATGCATGTATGATATACGCGCGCGTAAACTTTTTTTTGACAGCCACAACTGATTTCAAAGTAAAAATTGTTGACATTTGTCATGAATTGAATAGGAAACAAATAGTTTTGATTTTTTGAAATATCCAATCGACTTTTCTATTGTTATGACTTAATGTAAATTCTCGTTAAACTCTCTAGAAATTTAGGAAGTGAACTAAAGTATATTGGCTCGTTCATTTATAGTTTTCCTCACTTTTTCCTTTTTCATTGCCTGATATAATTTTTTGGTGTCTATGGTGATGAAAGAAAAATATACAGCAGTTTATTAATGGGTGGAGAGGAGTGAAACTTCCATTCGTCTACCAGAAAATTTCCTGCTACTTTTGTTCATTTGAGTTTTTCCCTTTACTTCTTTTTAAAAAGTGTTTACTGTGTGAGAGGCATTGCTGTCCTCAGTGCTGTAGAAATATTAGGACGTATCTCTGGTGTAGGAAATGTCCAAGTGGACAATACGGTAATTCAAGTATAATAAAGTAAGTATAAGAAATATACTGTGGGTATTCTAAGAAGGAAACCAATAATTCGAAGAGAGATGGGTGCTAAATTAGGGAAGATTTCTTAAAAGTAATAGTGCATTAAAATCTTTACAAAATAAATTACCTCTATTGAGAACTAAAATAATAATGGCTCTTCTGTTATTTTCTTGATAGACGAAGAATGCTGTTCAAGCTTTGATTGATAAGCATCAAAGAATACCGGGAAACATTATGAGTGCTTTGTTAGAACGTTTTCATAGAAATCAAAAGGTCCACTAGAAGGTGATTCAGTACATTTATATTAATATGTTTATGTCTATAGTATTGTCTTCTAAATTTTGTAAGTTTTATAATCATGTATATTATAAAAATCATGTTAATAAGCATCCTTTGCTGAACTCATTTAAATTGTAAATTTTGTTTTTATTTAGTCATGTCAAATTTAATTCAGTACATGCCTAATCAGAAAATTATCATGTTTCCTTTTATAAATTCCTAATAATGTATGATAAACATATAGATTACTAGAGTTAAGTTTATTAATAATAGCAATTTTGGTTAAATAAGCACTCCTAAATAATGAGTCTAGTTTCTGTATTTATTGCACTGAGCTAATTTTGCAAGACAGTATAACCTAGGGTTAGTACAGATGCTTAAGTTAGAAAAAAATGTTTTTTTGCCTGCCTTTCATTCCTTTCATGACCTTGGGCAAATCACATAATGTTTTTGTGACTTGAAAATTCACTTTTTAAAAAACATGTTAGGACTATGGTGAGGAATATTATCTTAAATTCTTTATATTTCTTGTGATTGTTACAGTAGAATTGAAATTATGATTGAATTAATTAAATAATACCAAGATCTTTCATAAGTTTATATACATATTTTGTCCATAGCATATTTAAATTATTCCTTCAGGTATGATGTGAAGTTGCCAAGCACAATGACAAAGACGTACTGTTATTCAAATTGAATAAAAAAGAAAGTAAGAAAAGTAAAATTTACAATTATTATTTTTAATGAGACTGTAAACAAATAATGTGTGTTGTGAATTGTCAGCCCTATAATATGGCATTAATAGTGTGAAGTTAAAAATCACTGTAAGGTTAAAAGTCACTGTCATGCTCTTTGTCAGAAGCTGATTCGAGGCTGATGAAAGCTGAGTTAAAGAAAACTGCCTTTGCTTCATATCATGGTTTATTCAGTTTGACTTTGCTACAAGTCAAATGGCCTATTGTTTCAGAAAAAATATACTTGAATAATGAATTTATGTGAACATAAAGCTTTCTGAAAAATAAATTGCGTTTGATATGTTGTTTCCTTCAAATCTGAATTTTAAAAGTATTGAAACAGAATAGTTCCAGTAATCAAATGCAATATCTTCCTCTCCACTTGGGTTTTTAAAATATATTTTTGTATAACAAGTATGTATATATGTATGTATATATTATATATGTAATATAAATAAACAAGCTACATTTTAAAAAGCTGAATTGTAATTTGTTTTCTTACAAAATTGAATATGTGACATTTTCTTATTTTAGATGAATTTATTTCTCATCCACAGTCATGTTCATGTATCTCAGCCAGAATGAATAAAACTTACTTTTTAATGTAATAAGTATATTTTAATTTCAATGAAAAGAGTCAATTAATGATTTTTGAAGCTTTTTTTCCCTAGTAGTTATAACTGATATATATTCTCAGAATAAATGAATAGATGATCATAAAATGAATGAGGTGATGTTTTGGGGTAACTATTGGGTTTTTAAAAACCAAAGAAAGAATACCATTCATTGATAATGCAGCAAGTTTTTAAAAAAACAGTATTTAGGTTTTACAGCTTTATTTAAAACCTTTTGTTCTCTGATACTCAAAGTAATAGAAAGGCTTCCTGTCCTGCTTAATATAAGATCTTTGTCATGGTTATTTGAATTTAAACCCTAGTTAGAAGAATGGGGGACTATGACTAAATATTAAAACATAAGTAATAATGGAAAAAAGACGTTCTTGACCTTTTGAAGGGAGTGTTCACAAGTTAGAATCTGATGAAAACTAGGACTCTCCATAAACATGAGCATGGCACACTTGTATGAGAAATTTTTCAGACTCTTTTTAAAAATCTTTCATTTTGAGACAATTTTGGATTTACAGAAAAGTTGCAATAACTGCATAGTATTCCCATATACTCTGCACTGAGTTTTACTAATTGTTATGCCACATTTGGTTTATTCTCTTTGCACGCCCCTTGTCCTGTCTCTCTGAATATATATATATATGTCTGTAATCTTTTTCTCCTGAACTATTAGAAAATTGCAGATAACATGCCCCTTACCTTTATCCTAACTATAAGACCATCCATTAATAGGACAGTGATCAAAATTAAGAAATTTATAATCCATATATAGTATCATCTAATCTAAAGATGATTCAAATTTCAGTTGTTTCAATAGTAGCCTGTGTATCGATTGCTGTTCTTGAACCATGGGGTTTACAGCAGGACCACCCATTACATTTAGTTTTCCTATCTCTTTAGTCACCTTAAATCTGGAACGATTTCTGGGCCTTTCTTTTCTTTAATGGTAATGAAGTTTTTGGAGAAGACAGATTATTTGTTTTATAGATAACCCTTAAGTTTTCTTTGATATTTCACCATGATTTAATTCAGATTATGCATTATTTCAGAAGTACTACATAAATAATGCTGTGTTCTTCCGAGTGTGTTTCATCAGGCAGCCGATAACATTGGTCTGTGTTGTTAGTAATGGTAGTAACTTGAGTCATTTGGTTAAAATGGCACCTGCCAGGTTTCTGCCCTGTTATTTTTTGTTGTTTGTAAGGGATGAATTTATGGAGAAATACTTTGAGACCATGTAAATATTTGTTTCTAAACAAACCCTCTGCTTTAGAATTGACTATTGTGTGAATAAATTATTACTATGAGGGTTTTAAACGTGTGACTTTCTAACTCTTCTACATTTATTAGTTGGCATTTTACCATAAAAACTTTCCAATCCTCATTTATTACCAGTATGGACTCTAAAATTCACATGTTGTTCAAAGGATTATGCATATACTCTAAAGTAATTTATAGATAAAACCCTCTGAAGTTGATAACATTTATGAACTATTGAAATAATAGATGTTTACAGGGGTAAGTGGAATGAGTTTCCGTAGTTGTGTATATGATTACTATTTAAAAGTATATTTTTGTAACTTTTATTGTGGTAAAATACACATAACCAAATTGACCATATTAGCTCTTTTTAAGTATACAATGCACTGTCATTAAGTACATTCATAATATTGTGTGACCATCACCACTATCCATGTCCAGAACTTTTTCATTCCAAACAGAAACTCTGTATTTATTCAACTTTGTATCCATTCTCCACCCACTGGCCCCTGGCAACCACCATTCTACTTTCCGTCTCTATGAATTCACCTGTTCTAAAGAGTATCATACAATATTTCTCCTTTTGTGTCTACCTTATTTTATTTAGCATGATTATTTAATGTCTTTCTGACACCAAATGACATAGCTCCAATGCCATTTCTCTGATTCTCTGACACCAACTGGTTGTCCTACAATTCCATTCAGTCCTGACACTAACTACTGGCACAGATGCTCCAGGGTAAGGGGAATCAATTCCCACAAGATTGTCCCATTCAGATGCCAGTTCTCCCTGGCCTAGTACAAGTTTAAAGGTTCCCATGACATCCCCTATCCCACCCACACTGGAAAATTGAGAACAACTCATAAAACTCAGGAAAGTGCGATACAGTTTCATTATAAAGAATACAGCTCAGGAACGGAGAAATGGAAGAAGGTAAGGTATGGAGGTGGGTTGCGCAGAGCTGCCATGTCCTCTGTGGGTGCACGAGCTTTCCTGCACAATGATGTGTTCAACTGAGAAGCTCCCCCAAACCTGCTTGTGGCCACCGGTGAATTGAACTCAACCTCTATGCCTCTGTACCCCAGTGAGTCATCTCGTTAGCATACAGGAGGCACTCAGGAAGATCTAAGGTTTGAGGAACTCAGTACCAGAAACTGGGAACAAAGACTAAATATATACAGGGGTGGGCAAATGTAGGTTTATAGTTGTAACATTCTTTTGAACTAATAAAGCTATCGTAATAATCATAACCTGCATGTCTTTTTCTATATGAACAACTGTAAACCTAGTTTTGCCCACTCCTGTATATATAATCTACCATAATAATGCCTTCAAGGTTCATCAATGAATTTCATTCCTTTTGAAGGCTGAAAAATATTCCATGGTATGCATATGTTACATTTCCTTTCATGTCTTCACAAGTATTATGAACATCTGGGTTGTTTCTACCTGTCATGGCTATTGTGAGTAGTGATGTGAACATCAGTGTGCAAGTATTTGTTGGAGTCCTTGCTTGTCATTGTTTTGGGTATATACCCAGCAATGGAGTTACCAAACTGTTTTCCACAGTGACAGCACTGTTTTACATTCCCTCTTGATAATCACCAGGGTTCCAGTTTCTCAGTATCTTTAGCAACACTTGTTATTTTCAATATTTCTGACAATAAAAATCCTGGTGGATGTGAAGTAGCATTTCATTGTGATTTTGATTTGCATTTCCTTAATGACCAATGATAATCTTTCCATGTGCTTATTAGTCATTTGCATATCTTCCTTGGAGAAATGTTTATTCAAGTCCCTCACCTATTTTTGAATTAGGTTTTTATTGTCGAGGGTTTTTTTTTTTAGTTCCTTACATATTCTGGATATTAATTCCTCACTAGATACATGATTTGCAAATACTTTCTTCTGCTCAATGGGTTGTCTTTTTACTCTCTTCATAGTGTCCTTTGATGCACAAAAGTTTTTAATTTTGGTATAATTTATCATTTTTCTTTTGTTTGTATTTTTGGTAGCAAAAAAAATTATTGCTAAATCCAATATCAAGAAAATTTTCCTCTATGTTTTCTTTTAAAAGTTTAAAAAATTTTAGTTTGTAAGTTTAAGTCTTTGATCTAGTTTGGGTTATTTTGTGTGTATGTTTGGTTTAAATTAAGGGTTCAACTTCATTCTTTTGTATGTGAATGTCCAGTTTTCCAAGAAGCATCTGCTGACAAGGCCGCCCTTCCATTGTGTGGTTTTGGCATCTTTGTCAAAAATCAACTGACCATAAATTGTAAAAGTTTACTTCTGGCCTCTTTTGTTCCATTGGTCTACATGTCTGTCAGTAGGCCAATACCACACTGTTTTGATCACTGTAACTTTGTAATAAGTTTTGAAATATTAAAATTTGAATTCTTCAGCTTAGGTCTTCTTTTTAAAGTTTTTGGTTTTTTTTTTGGTGTCCTTTGAGATTTGGTGTCCAAAGCTATTTGGTGTCCTTTGAGATTCTATATGAATCTTAGGATGGGTTTTCATATTTCTGAAAAAAGACACTGAGGGACTTTGATAGAGATTGCACTGAATCTGTAGATTGCTTGTGATTGTCATCTTAACAATATTAAGTCTCCAATCCACTAACAATATTAAGTATCTGATCCATTTATTACTGTTGTCTTAGATTACTTTGAGCAATGTTTTCTATTTTTGAGTGTATAAGTCCTTTGCACCTTTGGTTAAATTTAATCTTAAGTATTTTATTCTCTTTTAAGTGGAATTGTTTCTTTAATTATATTTTCAATTGTTCAGTGTTACGTAGAAACAAATACATTTTTGTGTTAATTTTAATTTGCATTTTTCCTGATGACTGATGCTAAAGTCTTTTATATGTGCTTGTCTTTTGCATATATTCCTTGGAGAAATGTCTATTTAAGTCCTTTGCCCATATTTGAATTAGGTTTCTATTATCATTGAGGGTTTTTTTTTAGTTTGGATATTAATTCCTTACCAGATATGTGATTTGCTGTTGTGGACCGCTCTGCCTGATTCTAGGAATTGTGACTCTACCCTCTGTGGCTGGGGATGGGTCAGTGGCATCCGGAGTGCAAGCCACAGGAGACGAAGCTCGTCTCTGGTGGCAAATGCTGCCTCAGTTTCCTCTCCCTGCCCCCAAGGCATGGTCAGAGGTCCTTGATGGGTGGGACCCCTTAGAGGAGGGGCAATTTGGGCACACTCAACCACTTGGGAGGCCTTCATGGAAGGACTCAGGGGGCTGCAACAAAGAGCAATAGACTCTCGCCTCCCCCCCCTCCGCCCCCCGCCCCGGCTTTGACAAAGCCTGAGTCCCCATGACCTCTGGGAGAGGAACTTCCTAGCTCTAGTCCCCTTGGGCCTGAATGCCTGGTGGGGAGGGGTGCAGCTCCTTGCCTTGCTAGAGCATGTTGGGAAAAATCTGGCATCACAAAGACTTGCTGATAAATCTGTGAAATCTGCTCTACTAAAAGTGCTTTCATTCATATGTTAAGGGTCCGAGAGGAAATGAGTGTGTCTCCCAAAGTTTCTGCAACTCTCTTCCTGACAGACACTGACTCATA